AGATTATCCCATGTTAAGACTAGTGCTAACCAAGCAAGCTTGGACAAAAATATGACTAACAATAAAGGGCAGTGCTTAAATCAGAAAGTATACTCACAATTGATATGCATATCATGTGAGGTTGTTTGAGAAGAGTATACCTGTAGTACTCACATGATATGCATAGTGATGATATAGTATGCCAAAGTATGCAAGTAATGAAAGTCATATTCTATTTTCAAGCCTATTTACAAGTGGTACACTACATGCCAATAAATTTTATAGAGAGAATGAGTATAGGCCAATCAAAGTCATATTCTACTTTGTGTTATAAATTATGCACTTATTATCTCGTCAAAAAAAAAAATTATGCATTTATTATAATAATTACCCAAGCATCCACATGTCTACAAGAATAAAATTCCCCCAAGTAGAACCCATATACAAGAAATAAAATTTGGAACAAGAAACCAACCAGCCAACTCTCAAGTAATCAATAGGATACTGACTTGTCAAAGTCTCAAGTAATGAGCATTCATCAGTTACCACTTTCTAACACTACAAATTTTGTAATCCACATTATTAGAGTACTAATTTTAATTCGCACATTCGTTCATCAATTCCTATGAAATCACTTTATATCGTAGAACTTATATTTACATAGTAATCAATAATTTCCACACTTTAAAAACGACGTATAAATATCATAAGCAAGACACGACTGACGACTCTGTATGTATACATCAGACAACCCAAGTTCGATGACGAAATCAAGTTATCTTGAATGACAGTCTGCAACATGCAAATTGATCATATATCAGCCATTCTCATTTTCATAAATACAACTATAAAATAGATACATGTGATGAGTTGTGGCAGCCTGGTAGGGGACATTCGGCTTAAAACAGTAGCAGGCACAATATAACACAACAGCAGAAGAAAAAAAATTACTTGAAAGTGGTTCCAGCACTTAGTACTTCACACTTTTTTCACTCTTGATACAAGTCACTTGAAAGAATATAGGCAACTAATATAGCCAACACCAAGTGCAACATAACATGTACAATATAAAGTTTAGGATATTTACTTTATAGTTTAGACTTTAGAACATAAGAACATGTGCACAAATTATACAGAACATGATCAAATTATATTTCAAAAATATATATTCTGCTTCACCACCAAAATTAGCTAGGATAACACAAAAGGAAAAGACTTCATTTATAATGAAAGCAAGGACCCTCTTATTGGGAACAACTTGTGTATAATCAAGAGTAGCGCCAACCAACCACCCAATAGATCATGAAAATGCTATCACTAACAATTAAGAACGCAACAAGAGCGTATAACTAATTTAGACATGCTGAAAAATAGTTTGGAACATGCTAAGCTTATTTACAAATCATAGAAGTCATTTCATTCATTTAGAAATTACATAATCAGTTGCAAAAAATAATAGACACATCACATTTTGTACAAAAAAACAGTAAATCATCAAAAATTGAAGAAAAAGAATTGCAAAAAAATTTATAAATGAAGTAAAAAAATTAGCATATAATCAAACACAATATCAAAATTCAAAAATTTTGGAAAGATCCATTTGAAATTGACGGATCTATAATCAATTGTTTGAATTTGAAGAAAAAAAAATCAAAAATTGAGAAATTCTGCTAAGATCTATTAGAAATTGACGGGAAAAAAAGCCAAAAAAAATTGAACAAAAATACAAGGAAACTAAATCGAAAATATTAAAAACGAACACATAAATTCAATAAAAGTAAGAATAAAAATTATAAAAGTTGAATGACAAACTTTAATTTCTTGAAGAATTTCATGAACTTGCGTTGATCGAGAGGATTTGCAGCAAGAATTATGAGAAGAGAGAAGAGAGAGAAAGACCTGTAACGTATTATGAGTGAAGGAGGAGAAAGAGAGGGGTAAGGTGCAGCTGAAATTACAAAAGTGTCATTACTAATCTATTCATTTTGGGCGGTCAGATCTATTCAAATCTCACGGTCCAGATTAGTTCTTATATATAACGCCATAACGGGTTCTTATATAGAGGAGAGTTCTTATATGAGTCTACCTATATATATATATATATATATATATATATATATATATATATATATATATATATATATATATATATATATATATATATATATATATATATATATAGGGTCGGGATCCGGTGAGAACCACCCTTTATGTGAGAACACTCCTAATATATGAGAACAAATCTAAGCCGTAGGATTAGATTAAAGTAGACGGTTAAGATCAACGGAGAACAAGTAATGACATTAGTGTAAATAATGAAGCTGCCCAACTTCATATTTTACCCAAAATATCTGATTTTCTCTCTCATCAAACACGTTGCACACTTTCCTTCATCTTCTCTCTTAAAACCACCAAATGTTCTCTAAAATCCATTGTAACTGCTCCAAATCAAAGCAAATCACATCGATTCCTTTTGATTTTTTGCTCAAATTCTACGAATTTTATTCACAAACTTATATAAAATAAGTTGAATTGGGCAATTTAATTAGAATTTTTGCAAATACGAACCCTAATTTGGCGGAAGAACAAATTGAAGAAAATTTTGAATGGAGGTTGGCGAGAACAATTAATTCGTACAGAAATTTGTTCTGTACTTGTCGTCATTGCCGTTATTTCTATCATCTTCTTCGAGGCTTATAATCGCCGATTCAACAATTCGTATGTTATATATCTTCCCCTAATTTTTGGATGATTTCAATTTTTTTTTTTTATGTTCACTATTTTTCACTTGTTAGTTTTCTATTTTTGTAGTCATGTTGAAGGTGAGGCAATATTTGAAGATCCAAATTCTCTTATAAAGGTAAACTTTTTAATCAATTTTAACTTGAATTTACTCAATGATTTTGTATATCCTGTTTTTAAGATCAATTGATACTGGGTATTGAAAGTTTGATTGATTCTAGGGTTTCTATTGTTTGCAATTTTGTTTTGTGAATTGTATATTAGTCTTCTTGAATTTGCTGGTTGTAATGCTTTGTGTTGGGTGTAAGTTAAGTATGATTTAATTAGACCTGTTAAAAAAGAAAAAAGAAAAAAGAATGTAATCAAGGAAATTATGGTTATAGTTGGAAATGAAATGAACACTGAAAACTTCCTTTGGTTGTTACTTTTCGTGATATTCAATTGGGGATTATTATGCTTCAAAGTGCTTAAGCATACCTATTTGCCTATTACTTAACGAGCGATCATGCATTATGTGATGAGAGGAACCGTTGGAAGAATTTGATTGAAAAATTCTGATTGGAAAATGTTACTCATATATTCTTAGGCGCATCAAACTTTCTGTTGCTAAACTTGCACTTGTAAGTCATGCTTTATGTGCAAAGAGGAACTCTTTGAGTTATTGGCTACAAGTTGGCATGTTTAAATGTATGTTAAAGAACTGTTGGAAACACATTTGGATTCACTTCTTTTCTGACAATGCTGAATTGTATGTTTTTGAGATTTGCTACCTTTTCAACTTAACCAAGTTATAATACATTGCATTTGGAATCTTGTTATCAGAATTATTGACTTCAGTAGGAAACTATTTTCTCAGGTTCCATACCCTTCTATATTTAATCCCGCTGAGAAGTATATATCTTTGATAATTCCTGCATATAAGGAAGAGCACAGACTTCCAAGTGCAATTGAGGAAACTATTAGGTAAGTTTGTCTAGAATACAATGGCAAAATAAGATCCTTCAATAATCTCTTTGTCTGTCTGTTACCTCTTTTGTTAATACCTTGAATTTGATATTTCTTACATACTGTGTTTAAGAAAACCCGTGTGTCCCCCAAAAGATATTAGCTATTCATCTCTGTTTTTCCTGACGCTGTATTTATGTATATGTTGGTCACAAGTTACATAGAAAATGATTTAAAACATATGATAAATCTATTAGCTCAAATGGTAGAGCACTATGCAAACGCATAGGGGATGTAGGTTCAATTCCTACATAGGTTATCTCTATAAACAAAATTAATTAAAATAAATAAATCAAATTCGTACTAAATTATATGAGCAAAAAAATGGTTTGAAATGATTTATAACTATATAAACTTTGTTACAATTAAACTTTCATACAAACTTATGTCTCCACATTACCTAAATGAACCTACGTTGGATTCAAACCCACATCTTTTGTGCATTTGCACAATGCTCTAACCTTAAGCTAGTAGGCTAAAGTATCTAAAACATTCAAACACACTCACAAATGAGCATCAATTTGAAAAAATGAGCAAAAATCATTTGCTCATTTGACAAATGATCATTAAATAGTTTGCTCATTTGACAAAGGAGCATTGAAATTTTTTGCTCATTTGACAAATGAGCAAAATTTAATTGCTCATTTTTTCTCATTTGACAAATGAGCAAAAAATAATTGCTCATTTGACAAATGAGCAAAAAATAATTGCTCATTTGACAAATGAGCAAAAAATAATTGCTCATTTGACAAATGAGCAAAAAATAATTAGTTTGCTCATTTGTCAAATGAGCAAATAATTAGTTTGCTCATTTGTCAAATGAGCAAATAATTAGTTACTCATTTGTAAAATAAACAAACATTTTTTTGATCATTTGGGAAATGAGCAATCAATTTTTTGCTCATTTAGCAAATGAGCAAATAGTTAGTTGCTTATTTGTAACAGATATATGTCCTTTCCAATGGTAACATATGTAATCTACAGACATCACAAGGAGACAAATTAATGAAGCACATAAGACACGATGAGAAAGTTTATATATTAAATTAATAAAGTGTCCATTACTGATGTGATGCCAAGTAACTTTTTCTGTTCCACAATATGTTTCTTCAAATCAGATTCAATCTCCTCAATCTTTTCACTGGCAGAATCATATTTGACATCAGCTCATTCAAGAGGAATTATACGCCTTGTACTATTAGCATCCACCCAATCGAACACATCCTTAAATTGCTTTATAATGGAACTCATATTGGGGAGACCTTTGCCTGCAAATTACATGCTATGAATATCAGCACGGCATATAAAATGATCAAAATACAGGAGCGTCAACATGACAATATGTTCAAGTTGTTGCTAAATCTTGTTTTCATACTAAGTAAAAATTTCTAACTAAAGTTCAGATTTCTCAATATCATTCTAATATGCCACATGCTGAGAGTAAAGGCATAAGACAATTCTTTGCAGGCAAACACGTTTAAAAATGATCAAAAATATGGTTTTACCAACCTAATCGACTCCAAACACGTTTAAAAATAATATAATCTAAATTCATGTTTAAACCATAAATCTAACCCCAATAATCTACTCCATATCATTAATTTTTTTTATAAGTAGTTCAATTCTACCTAATAATCCATTTCTCTTTTTAAAACAGAGCAAATTATGCCACCAACTATATTGCTAAAAAAATAGGTAAAAATGGAGAGCCTAGTTAGAATTTGTTATCTGTTTTTCTCAGGATGAATATCAAGACCATGATAAAGATCTTTAAGACCATCAAACAACCCCTCTTGACCAAAATCAACAGAGCCCTGGTTCAACTCGTTCACCAGCATACCGAATTGATTTCCCCTTGACGATTTCAACCTTTACCTTGGCCACTCAACTATTTAATCCTCCTCGTGATTTGATAATCCTATTCTATGCACTCCATCATCATCATCATCATTTCTATTCCACGATATTGTTTTCCCCGATATAAGGCATACGATTTTCTTCAGAGTCATCTTTACTACAAGTATAATAGCTGGATTGGAAATTGCTACCTATATTGATCAAAGTATATGAAGAATTAAAGATAAAATTAACGAAGCTTGAATACAATTGCAATAGAAGTTGATTCAAGAATATCATGGGATATCTAATAGAGTTTTGACTGCATTTAAAATGTGACTACTTTACAAATGTCTTTTTGATTTTTTTTTTCATCAGTTTAAGGATGAACAATGTTGGTCATGATCAATTAGCCAGCTTAAGTGAAGACCTGTGCACATAGAATTCTGATGTAACAGAATTCTGTTATTGTTATAACAACTTAATTATGTTATAACAAACTGATGTATATATATACTGTACTCCCTTTTACAATTGAAACTGATTCATTTCTGAATAAGAAAATCTCTTCTCTTCTTTCTCTCTCTACTCTTTCTCTCTCAATACACTGAGATTTTCAACGTGGTATCAGAGCACGCGATTGAATTTCTTCGTTTCTGCAATTTTTTCAGCAATTCAGAGTTACAATTCTGAAATAATCTTCGTCTTCTTCAGTTGAGTTCAATATTGATTCAAATTTATGCGAATTTTATCAAGGAAATTTAGAGAGATTGATCAATATTTCTTCATATATTTTGTTTGCTTCAGTTTATTGTAAAAATGGCAGCAAATTCTGTTACACAAGATGTAACATCACCTTATTACATAAATCCTTCTGAAAACACTTGGTTGCCTATAGTTTCTGAAAAATTTTCTGGTGAAGCATATGGTGAATGGAAGAGAAGCATGATGATTTCTTTGGCTACGAAGAACAAGCTAGGGTTTGTGGATGGAAGCCTACCTAAGCCAGCTGAAAATGATGTGAATTGTGCAGCATGGAAAAGGTGTGATGCAATAATCATTTCTTATATTTTGAGGTCTTTGGAAAATTCGATTGCAAGGAGTGTATTGTTCTTGCCTACTTCTCAAGAAATCTGGAAGGATTTAGAAGAAAGGTTTTCACAAACTTGTGGACCTCAATTGTATTCTTTACAACAATCTTTGGCTGATTTGAAGCAAGGACCAGAAGTTTCTGTGACAGATTTCTTTACACAGATTAAAGCAATATGGGATCAGATTAATCAAATGAATCCTTTGCCTACTTGTGCAAGTAATGGCTGTACTTGTACTCAGATTTTCTTGAAACAACAACAAGAAGAAAGACTAGTTCAGTTCTTAATGAAGTTGGATAGTAGATTCACAACAGTCAGATCGAATATCTTGATGATGAAGCCTTTGCCATCTATTTCAATGGCATATAAATTGCTTGTTCAGGAAGAAAAGCAAAGGAAAACAACTCTGATTGATGAAGATTACTCAAGCAGCAGGGGCATGGTGTTTGCTACTGATTACAAAAAGAATACAGGTGGCAAGAATCATTTTCAGGGTTCTAGAATGACATTTCGATCAACAAATGGTAATAAACTGGTGGTTGCTGGAAAAAAACCTTTCTACAATCATTGCAAGTTTCCTGGGCATACTATTGAGACTTGTTTCAAATTACATGGCTATCCATCAAACTTCACTAAAGGGAAAGGAAGAACTGTTGCAGCAGTAGCTCAAATTGAAGATGAGGAGGACCTAGCTGATCATACTACACATGTTTCTGTGGATCAGTTTAACAGCATACTCAAGGCTTTACAATGTCAAGAACCTGGCTCATCAGCTGAATCACAGGCTCATGTGACAGGTACATGTTTATTAACCTGTTCAAACATTAAATGGATAGTAGATAGTAGAGCAACAGACCATATATGTTCAAGTTTAGACTTGTTTGAGACATATAAAGTGTTTGATAAGCATCCTAATACTATTACTATTGCTGATGGAAAACATGTGATAGTGGAACATATAGGGACAGTTTCCTTTAAAAATGGTATAGTGTTGCAGAATGTATTACATGTGCCGGGCATCAAGTTCAATCTTATTTCTACACATAAATTGTGTACTGACATGAACTGTGAAATTGTATTTACTCATGATAAGTGCTTAATTCAAGGGCCAACCTTGAATCAATCAGTGGTTCTTGGTTGTCTAGCATCAGGGCTGTATGCTGTAAATGACAGAACATCAAAGAAGGAAGAGCAATTGCTGCAGGAAGAGGCAATAGGTGGATGTAGTATGGTCAGAAGTCTTGATGATGATGCTAAGCTTTGGCATCTTAGAATGGGGCATATGCCTTTCAATAAGCTGTACCTAGTTAATTCTGTTTTTGATAATAAAGTAGGCAGTGCAATAGTATGTCAAGTTTGTCATAAGGCTAAGCAGACTAGAAAACCCTTCTCTGATAGTCTTGCTAGGTCAGAGAAACGTTTTGGTTTATTGCATATTGATACTTGGGGTCCATATAAAACTAAAAATCATGATGGTTTTAGTTATTTTCTCACAATTGTAGATGATTTTTGAAGGCATACTTGGACTTTTCTTATGAGAAATAAAGATGATGCAGTTCAAATTATTACTGATTTGATTGTTTTCATTAAAACTCAGTACAACATGGATGTTATGTGTATTCAGACTGATAATGCTAAAGAATTGTGTGAGGGTAATATTGTTCAAGTGTACAGAAAACATGGGATAAGGCATCAAAAGTCATGTGTAGATACCCCACAACAGAATGACAGGGTGGAAAGGAAACATAGGCATTTATTGGAAACAACATGGGCTCTCTATTTTCAATCAAGGGTTCCTGTGAAGTTTTGGGGAGAGTGTTTGCTGACTGCTACACGTGTAATAAACAGAATGCCTTTGAGTTCTGTTAATTTTGCATCACCTTATGAGGTTCTAAATGGGAAGAAACCTGATCTACATCATTTAAAGGTGTTTGGCTGTCTATGTTATGTTTCTACCTTGAAAACAGGAAGATCTAAGTTTGATTCAAGAGCCTCACCTTGTGTTTTATTAGGTTATCCACCTAATCAGAAGGCCTACAAAGTGTTTGATTTGGAATCAAAAAGGATGATTGTTTCCAGAGATATCATTTTTTATGAGAAGCATCTTCCTTATCATTTTGAGACACAACCTAACTCCACAAATCACCCTATCTTTCTTCCTTTAAACACTACTTTTAATGATACTACAGATTATCCTATACCTGAACCTTTTCTCACAAACAATGATACACACTCAAATTCTGTATCAGATGAATCTACCCTAAACATAAACACTCAGCCTCAAACAAACAACAATCCTATCCCTGATACAGAGCCAAGACATTCAGATAGAACTAGGAAGAGACCTGCTTATTTGGATAATTACATATGTGCTACTGCTTCCAGTTCTAGACATTGGTGCAACATTGTGCAATTTGATGTACTTCCAGTTTCAACGAAGGTCTTGATAAGCAAGACTGTTAATATCACTGAACCAGCTAGCTATCTTGAAGCATCTCTTGATGAAGGATGGGTCGAAGCTATGCAAAAGGAAATAAATGCCTTGAATGAAAATGGCACATGGGACTTAGTTTGTTTGCCTAAGGATAAGAAGGCTATAGGGTGCAAATGGGTGTATAAGGTGAAGCTTAAAGTAGATGGCAGTGTTGAAAGGTTAAAGGTAAGGCTAGTTGCTAAAGGATTCACACAAAAATATGGGATAGACTATCTGGAAACATTTTCTCCAGTTGTCAAGATGACAACAGTGAGATGTTTGTTAGCCATTGCTACGAACAAAAGGTGGAATATGTATCAGTTAGACATTAATAATGCCTTCCTGCATGGGGATCTAACAGAGGATGTGTATATGAAGGTTCCTCAAGGAGTTCCAAATCCTGATAACTTGGTTTGTAAACTCAGGAAGTCTCTTTATGGACTTAAACAAGCTTCTAGACAGTGGTTTGCAAAGCTGAATACTGAGCTGAAGTTAATGAAGTATGTGCAATCGAAGAATGACTACTCAATGTTCATCAAGAAGAAAGATGATAAGATCACAGTTGCTGTGATTTATGTGGATGATATAATTGTCACTGGATCAGATGAGAAGGAAATACAGTGGTTCAAGGAGCATATGTATTCAGTCTTTAGCATCAAAGATCTGGGTATACTAAACTATTTTTTGGGGATTAAAGTCTCTCATTTACAGAGTGGTATAGTAATGACACATAAGAATTTTACAAAAGAACTTCTACAGGACTGCAACATGGATGTTTCTAAAGCTGCTAAAACACCTCTACCTGCAAACATCAAACTCTTGGATGATGAAGGGGAGATGTACCCTGATCCAGAACACTATAGGAAGATAGTTGGAAAGCTGAATTTCTTATCACATACCAGACCAGAACTATCTTTTTTAGTCCAGACATTGAGCCAATTTATGCAGTCACCTAGATTACCTCATGTAAAGGCTTTACATCATGTTTTGCGATATGTTTCACACACTGTGGGACAAGGTATCATGCTACGTGCTACTGATCAGCTATCTCTAGTGGCATATTCAGACTCAGATTGGGCTGCTTGTCCCAATACAAGAAGGTCAGTCACAGGTTATGTGTTACTGTTAGGCAACTCACCTGTTTCATGGAAGTCTAAGAAGCAATCAACGATATCAAAAAGCTCAAGTGAGGCAGAATATAGAGCTATGGCAGCAACAGCTTCAGAAACAACTTGGTTAGTTAGACTCCTTACAGAGTTGGATGTTCTGAATTTGCAGCCTGTTACATTACACTGTGACAATCAAAGTGCGATTCATATAGGGAAGAATCCTATGTTTCATGAGCGCACCAAACACATAGAGATTGATTGTCATTTCACAAGAGACAAAGTGTTAGAAGGTTTGATTGACTTGACTTATACTCCTACTGCAGAACAATTAGCTGACATTATGACTAAGGCTTTAGGGTCACTTCAGCACAACAAGTTCAAGTCCAAGCTAGGCATGTATACAGATACCATCCCTAGCTTGCGGGGGGCTGTTGGTCATGATCAATTAGCCAGCTTAAGTGAAGACCTATGCACATAGAATTCTGATGTAACAGAATTCTGTTATTGTTATAACAACTTAATTCTGTTATAACAAACTGATGTATATATATACTGTACTCCCTTTTACAATTGAAACTGATTCATTTCTGAATAAGAAAATCTCTTCTTTCTCTCTCAATACACTGAGAATTTCAACAACTTGTTGTACTGTGAGAAAAGAGAAAGAGATTGAAAAAAAACCGACTTCGATGATTAATTGAAAATTTGATTTAGATTTCACATTAACAGTCGATAAAAATATTAAAAGAAATTTCCCTAAAATAACATCAAATTAAATCAATTACAAATCACAAAAACTTTTAAAAGCAAAAATATCCACAGAAAAATGAAGAAATCAAAAAATGAACTTGGAATAAGAACAATCCAGCAACACACACACACACACACAAAAAAAAAATTTGAAAAATTAAAAGATTTACCAGAGAGATGGATAGAACAATGGCGATAATATAGGTGGAGATTCTTAGTTAACAAGGACCCATGGCTAGGAGTGAGAGTTGTTGGATCAATAATTCTCACTTTACTACCAAGATAGAACTGCAACTCAATTCATCAACAACAACGTCAACTCTCCATCAACCACTTCTCATCAAAACACTACTTCCACCTAAAAATTCTTCGTCAACTGTCGAAGAAGTTATTGAGGTAACGACGGCAAATTGTGTGGCTATCTGCTGCTGTTCATTTTTCACTTCTCCAAGTCTCCACCAGTGTCCTCCTTAATGGGGTTATTCCCTTTTTTTTTTTTTTTTTTTGAATTGAAAAGAGAAAAAGTAGTAGATATCCACAAATGCTTGAGCCCTGCGATTAAATAGCAGCAACTTGAATAGACATGCTCACATTTGCACATGCATTACCCTCCCCATGAAACCCTGCCCAAGCAAAAACACATACAGACAAACACTATCTTAGTAACTTCCTTGCACACCATTCCCATAAGGAAAACAAAGCATAAAGCTTAAGTAGATCAAATTTCAGCTTCAATCACTAACACAGGACACAGTCCACGTGGATTTACACACAACAGCATATGCAATCAAAACAAAAGGGAACTAGACAGCATAACACTGCCCAAAAGATGGATTTTTAGTTTATATATATAATAATAGGAATAAGATAGTGTATAAAATCTTTATATTAAGCAGAATGCAGTTAAACCATACCTAGTCCCTGCAAAATGATGAGACTGTCTAGACACCAAAGCATACTGATATCACGTACATAAAAATTAGATACCTTGCTTCCTGCAATCCATGATTTTATATGTAAAGGCTTATCTTATCACTATTTCCAAACTATAAAGTAACGTTTCTCCATCTCGAAGTAGATGATTTTCTCAAGAGTATTTCAATTCTACCTGAAACCACTTCCAGTGACAAAACATACTTTAGTCAATTCTATCTTCAATATTTCCGAAACCATAGATTTCACTATCAAAATTGTTACTAAACTAAAATTGGCACGCTCATTAAATCGATTACAAGGATCAATTTACATTCAAACTAATTGAACGAGTATAAAACATTAAGAAACCAGAAAATGAACAAAATTAAATCAGAATATCATAAAATTGCTTCGTACTATCATCACATGATACAAACTACTAAAAATCACATAAAAACAAAGTAAAATGCCCAAAATCAATAAATTGATACTCACATCATTCGTTCATATGTAACAATAGCTTCGGTTAAATCCATTTGATGAAGAATTCGCGATTTCTAGGGTTTCAATAAAATCACAAAAATCTTATTCAATACCAAAATTTGAACAATTTTTGCCAAATATCAAAGGAAAAATAATTAAAACAGAAAATACCTAACTATAGTTGTAGATTCAAGTTGAAATTCAAAGATATCTCAGCATTATGATCAAAGCAGTATTCGTTCAGAAATTTTTGGGGAAAGAAGAGAAAGAAAGGCAAGACCTAGATCAATATCTAGAGAGAGAAAAAGCTGGACAATTTTTTTTAAAGTTTTCTTATATACAATCTAAAATTTACACTAATGCCGTTATTTTGACAGGGATAGATGTGGAGCATTGGATTTTGTTTGATCCAATGGTTATAAATTATTCTCACATATAATGTGTTCTCACATAAGGGATGTGTTCTCACATGGTCCCATTTCTATATATATATATGTGAGAACCTATCTTTTATGTGAGGACAAATCTTAGCCATTAGATTGTAATAAATCCAACAACTGAGATTAATGATATAAACCTTCCCTAACAACCTTTCTATTGTGCTCTCTCTCCACCACGAAGCTTCAAGGTTTATCAATGGCGTCAATTTCTCTCTCCTCTTCTTGTTCACGAGTATCAATTTTCATAAATTATTGAGGTTTGTAATTCTCTTAGTTTTGTAAATTTTGTAAATTCAATGATCTTAGTTTAATCTTAGCATCAAAATTTACAAAAAAAATTTCAATTGCATGTTAGCTTTAGTGTTTGAGAATTTCAAATTGTTCAGTTCTGATTATTACTGAATTACATAAATTATTTTCGTTAAAATATTCGATTATATTCGTTAAATTATTTCAGAATCTAATATTTGTCTGCGTGTTACTATTTTTAAGAACCCTAAGCTGCAATTTCCATATGGTTTGATATGATAACCTATGTTGATTTTGACTTGATTGATTAATCAATGGTAAAGAAATGAGGAAGTAAATGCACACCAAGTGTTTGTGAAAAAGGCGTTGAGAAGAATTATTTGATTTTTTTTCATGTTTATTTAATTTATAGTTTTGAACTCTCTGTGAATTGGTTATCACGTTTGCTTCAATTGGTTTTATTGCAATCATTAAGCTGATATATAGTCTTATTAGGAATGTAGGAGACTGGGTTATCACTTTTCTATTCACTTTACAATAATTAAGAGGCATGCTCATGATAATATAAGTTACCCTTTTCATGGCAGAACATATTACTTTATCCTTTTCCAACCTTCCAAATCATTTTTCTGAACATTTGTAAAAATATACTACCCAAAATATCCCCATCACAGTAGAGCACCTGGAACAAATGGTATTATCCTTCTAAATACCAACAGTTGGAAAACATGGAGTAAAATCCGGTGATGATCAAATCAGTATATGGTAGATTCAATTTTATTCTTGTTGTGTCACATGAAATTTCTGTACATTATGAAGATGCTTACAGGACTATACACTTTACAGTATCATACTGATCATTATATCCTGATGTCAACCAGGCTTGTCGACATTGCTCCTTTTTCCAATAGATTGTCAATGTATATTCCTCCAAACATTTAGTATTTTAAGATGCCTTGCAAACTACAAAGCTTTAAAATTTGTACCTCTTATATCAACACTCGCCAAAAGTTTAATCAAGCGTATGATGGAGAAGAGTCTAAAATTCGATGGTAAATATGTCTCTGTCCACCTCCGTTTTGAAGAGGTATCCAATGTTTCTTCAAGAATAGTTTGTCCTTATCTTTATAAAATGTGTAGAACATTGCTAATTTTGTGCCCATTTTCATGTGGGTCTGGCTGGGCATGTAGGACATGGTTTCATTCTCGTGTTGCATATACGATGGAGGAAAGAAAGAACAGTTTGAGATGGACTTTGTCCGAGAGAAAGGATGGAAGAGGAAATTTAAACGCAGGGGCACTATAATTAATCCTGGCCTCAATCGAATCAGTGGGAAATGCCCTCTAACTCCTGTGGAGGTATGTTTAATCTTTCACTCAAGCTATCAAGAGCCTTAAGGATTGATCTCCTGCAATATGCAGATAGGCCTTTAAAAAAAAGTACATTAATCAATGGATCTTTTTTTTTTTTTTTTTTTTTTTTAATCTCTAGATGTTGGGAACAAATAGTATATATCCTTGAAAAAAAATCCCAAATAACTCATAATTGGGGGGGGGGGGGTGTGCGGGTGGCCTTTGCACCTTTATATAATCACTTATCTTACCTTCCCTCCCATGCTCGCTTCTTGTCAACATAGGTTGGAATGTTGCTTAGAGGAATGGGGTTTGACAACAATACATTGATCTAGCTAGCATTAAGAAAACTATATCAGGAGGACAGACAGTTAAGTCCCCTATTAGAGATGTTTCCCCTTCTATATACTAAGGAGTCTCTTGCATCCCCAGAAGAGCTTGCTTATTTTAAGGTAATTATTGCAATTTTTCTTGCACTGTGAATAAGTTAATAGTGATCCAGGGTTTCATTGATCGTAATCATGATTTACTCCATATTTAAACATGTAGTATAAATTAGGTTCTTCACATCGCAAGAATTTTAAATGGCTGCAGCTGTAGCTTCCATTATTGTAAATCATACGAACTTATTCACCTGTGACAGGGATACTCTTCTAAATTGGCCGCTCTGGACTATATACAGTTTGTTTATTCAGCGAGGTTTTCTTGACCACACAGGGTGGAAATTTTCCACATTTCCTCATGGGTCATCGCAGATATATTTATGGTGGACATGCAAAGACTATCAAACCTGACAAGAAGAAACTTGCTCTTCTGTTTCATAACATGAGCATCAGGTAACTTTCCGTGTTCTCTTTGTTCAAAAGTTAACCTGGTTGATTGCAATTGTGATTTGCGTATGTGCACTAGCATGTAGTACAAAGCATATGATATCTGTGGGATTATGAAAGGTGATAGCTACTAGAGTTGCCCGAATTAGAACTTTGGATTTCTGCAATTATGTGGGATTATGAAAGGTGATAGCTGCTCGACTGTGATGAATATGTGGCTTATTGTTCTGCAGGAGCTCAGTGACATGATAGAAATCAAAGAAGAGGATATTTTGTCTACTCTCCAAAGTCTGGAGCTGATCCAGTATCGCAAAGGGAAACATGTCATATGTGAACCTATTAGCTCAATTGGTAGAGCACTATGCAAATGCATAGGGGATGTAGGTTCAATTCCTACATAGGTTTCTCTATAAACAAAATTAATAAAAAATATCAAATTCGTACTAAATTAAATGAGAAAAAAATGGTTTGAAATGATTTATAACTATATAAACTTTGTTACAATTAAACTCTCATACAACTTGTGTCTCCACATTACATAAATGAACCTACGTGGGATTCGAACCCACATGTTTTGTGCATTTGCACAATGCTCTACCCTTGAGCTAGTAAGCTAACGTATTTAAAACATTCAAACACACTCACAATTGAGCATTAATTTGACAAAATGAGTAAGAATCATTTGCTCATTTGAAAAATGAGCATTAAATAGTTTGCTCATTTGACAAAGGAGCATTGAATTTTTTACTCATTTGACAAATGAGCAAAAAATAATTTCTCATTTGACAAATGAACAAAATTAATTTCTTATTTAACAAATGAGAAAAAAATTAATTGCTCATTTGACAGATGAGCAAAAAATTAATTGCTCATTTGACAAATGAGGAAAAAATTTATTGCTCATTTGACAAATGAGGAAAAAATTAATTGCTCATTTGTCAAATGAGCAAATAATTAGTTGCTCATTTGTCAAATGAGCAATTATTTGTTGTTGATCTGGTGATCGACTCAACAAATTGTCTAAGAAGAACCTTACATACCTCTTAACAAATTATCCAAGAAGAACCGTACATACCTCTTCACCTACAAGCGAAATGAGAATATATTCAAGTTTAAGATGCAGAGAGACAGGAAGTCTGTCATATACTGATATATGTCCTCAATTGCAAGCTCTACTGTAATATCACCAATTACAGTCATTTTAAAATTCAAAAGAAATTATGAAATTCAAATTAACAATAATTTCCAGCATACAAATGCCACATAACTAATGTAAACAATTACCACAGATATAACAGGAACAGTCACAAGCACTTAGAGCTTAGATTTTGCATATACTGATATATGTCCTCAATTGCATATTGAGTGATTCCTCTCATGGTATATGTTTTACCACTACTAGTCTGCCCATATGCAAAAATGGTTGCTGCAAGAAAGGAAGTTTGAACTAAATCAACAAACAACATCCACTAAACTTAACCAGAATAAAGATATCTATATAATCACCATTAATCCTAATAAGAGCTGATAAGGTCACATCCTTTGCCCCTCCTTCATAAACCCTCGCGGTCACACAAGTTAACTTTATCTGATACACAAAACAACCATGATTTATTAAGCTTCACTTTATAAAAACTTGTATCATACCCTTGGTTCAATAAAACTATGAAATTACCAAAGGTGAAGGAGAAAAAAGACTTCTCTCATCATTGGAATTCTTGAACACTACTGTCTCCTCATCTGGGCACTCCAATGCAATCAAATCTTACATTGCTTTTTCCCTCAATCTTAGCGGCCTAATTCGAACCATTACCATTATCTTCTCCTCTCGAACTTTCTTCCCTCTGGAGTACATGATGATGTGGTTGTTAGGACCTTGGACAACAGAATCTTGGGCTCTCCCATTTTCAACACCCAATTTCAAAATCCACTTTTCAAATAGTTTAGTCGTTTTATCAAACACTTAGATGGAAATTACAAGAATTGGGTTAAGTGTTCAACAAACATTAAACAAGACTCTTGCATATATAACTGGGTACAAAATCAATCTAATCAAACTTCAGATTATCGATTACTAAATTCAAATCATGCTCATGTAAGAATACTTCTAAATGTTATTACAAAAGGCCAAGGTAACCACCAAAATGTTTGAAATAAAATCAGACTGTCTTTAGTTGCATCTGTACAGAAATTACACCTCAAATTCTCTTAAAGTTTCATAAGTTTACAGAATATCACATAGATGTTCCTCCGAATACTATAACTCACAAGAAAAGGAAATTTATAACTGATATCATAATACAGTAATAAAGGACATGTTAAATGTTATGCTTGAATTTAATGGAAAAATTTGCAAGTCTTATTCCTATAAGCAAGTTTGCCCCTGTTGTAATTTTCTTCCATTAATAATGATACAAAATTCGAATGTTATGTTCAGGCATTTAACTAGACAATGTTGGACAGCGAAAACCAGAAAGAAATTTGGGGTGTGTATGTTCAACAAGCACATTACAGATTCAGATTCACAAATAAAAAACTAAAAGGGGTACCTTTTCCTAGAGATCAAGGTCCTCTGACGATGTTAAATTAACTATTGCCTTCAGAAAAACATAATCTCTGAAAAAAGGAAGCTCTGCCTGATCAGCATTCTCTAATTGGAACTCTGCCAAATCACCGATTAGAAAGACACATTTTCGGAACAAGGAAACTTGCCGCTATTATCCGTGAATGAATTTGATACTTTGAATCTCACCTCTTGATCACTATTTTTTGAGTTATTTCTCTCTTTTACTTCATTCACCTTTCCTTTGAAATTGGGTTGGTAAGGCTGAACATCTTAATATAATCTTTTATCAATCATCAATGCAATGAAACCATGCAAAACATAAAGTAAATTAATCTCAGCGTTCGTAAGGCTGAACATCTTAATTCTACATTAAAACGGATATTATATATAGGACATATAAATGAAACTACCACTAATCCATAATTCCTTACAACTTTTAATATTAAAAACACAGTAAGACTAGTAGTAAACTGGTAATACTCCATTTGAAACTCCAAAAACTGAGTAAATACTACCGTTAGAGCAACTCATCGGTACACCTAGCCGTAAAATGTTGCCTGAACCAACTACGATTAGTGCAACTCAGTATAATTCTTAACTTCAGCATCAAATTTCTGTTGCAAATTTTTCGAATTAGAATTCACAAGTAAAACAGGGGTTTAAGTGTTTGGATTACCTTGAATGTTCGAAGGAAGCTTTATACTGGCTTTAACAGTACTCACAACCAAACCAAACCCGCAACATAATTGCAACAAAATCGAGCAAAAATCGCAACAAAACCACAACATAATTTCGCAAATACACAACTAAGACAAGAATACATGTTAAAACCTAAATTCAGGCAAAATAAAACTATAATCAACTTGATAATTACTCAAAAAAACGAAAATAAAACTAAAATCAACAAAAAAACAAACTAAAACATAATCGACACAAAGTAACCTAAAATTAGTGAGATGAAATCAGCACAAATAAAACAAAAATCAAAACAAAGATAAAAAAATGAATGTAACCTAAAATTAATTGAAAAATAGCAAAAAAATAAACAATAAACTTACATTGACGAACAATTGATAAAGATTGAAAAAGTTGTGATGAAAATTCAGAGAGAAAGAGAGTAGAAAACTGGATGAAATTGAACGAGGAGAGAGAAATTGTGCGTGAAAGAAGAAGGAGGAGAGAAAAAAAAACTCAGAAATTGTTTTAAATTAAAATGGTTTTGTTTAAACCGGGATTGTATTGTGACCGTTGGATGTAATTGATCCAATGGTTATAATGAGTCCTCACATATAAAAGAGTTCTCACATAAGGGATGTGGTCTCATATGATCCCATTTATATATATATATATGTTCTAGATGGAATAATATACCCAACAAAAATTCCCTCTTATATTATTCTCTACATTTCTCTCTCCATATTTAACATATTGTATTGGTAACCGATGAAGATTACTCCCTCCGTTTATAATACTTGCTCCATTTCTTCATGCGCGGAGTTTTGGGAGAAATTGGAGTAAGTAATAAAATATATAGGTAATGGGGTAGGTGGAAGAATAAAAAATTCTAAAAAGCAAAAGTAGTTAAGAGAATTGGAGGAGAGAAAATATGAAATTGATAAAATATGATTTATGTTGGGTCCACTAGTTGAGAGGAATGAATTAAATATTGTAAAAACGTTCCAAATAAGAAAATGGAGCAAGTATTTAAAAACGGTCGAAAATAAAAAGTGAAGCAAATATTTAAAAATAGAGGGAGTACAATAAATGGATACAAAAGTCAATAATGGAAGGAATATATAGTGATTGATTAATTTATTCCTAAACTAATTACTACCAGCCACCAAACTGCATAAATCAGTTCAAGTCTAACTTGGATTTCCACCCATCTATCACTTTTCTGTAACGATAGCTTCTATAAGACAAAAGAAATAGTTGTGAAGTAAATCTAAAGCTAACAAAAAATCTCCCAACAACCAAATGTAACAAAGAGACCATAAATTTATGCAACCTATTACATGAGTAAACGTATATTAGGTCTTAAAAAAACGTATGTGTAGCCCACACTAACACGTCTTCAATACCATTAACGCCATTGACGATATTGTTAAAACTCTATATCCAAATTGATTTATACTAGTGACATGTTTACACTGATCATTTACTGCCACATGCGAAGACCGTTGCAACTTATGTAATGAATTTGCACAAACACAAACAAATCTATCTTTGATCTATCCCATATTAATAGTATTGATCGATACATCATTATATTGACCTTAATGACCTACCCATTTCCCATTATTAATATTGGTTGATTCTCATTTGAAATTTTCATCTCGAAAAGAGATCAGATAAACTTTAATTATCAAGTACTTTTGAAATATTAACTCTAAAGAATATCTATAACTATATAACTAAAATAAAATAAAAACATGTCAATTACATCACCATTATACACATGTCAATTACTCCCTCTAGATTTTCTCTTTGGGAGGGTTTTTGGTTCCCTCTAGGGTTTCTCCCTTAGGAAGGTTTTTCTATCCTCCATTGCTAGTTTTTTCTAATTTTTTGAAGGTTTTCCTTCACTCTTCTCCTTTCCTCTCTTTCTCTTTTATCTCTTTTCTTCTGATCTCAATTGTAAATTTTTGTAGGGGCTTCCACCGGTGTTTTTACCGGTGGTAAGCCTCAAAAAAACATTTTAATGCTTTCAATAAATGGATCCCATCTTTATGATGGTGATTATTCTATTAGGCTTAATTTCTTTGTTCGTTCGTCTGTCAAAGATTGAAATTTAGGGTTTTATAATCTCCGAAGGTATCTAGAAGGCTATATGAGTTTTTTCACCCAAACAATTATTCATCCATGGATCTCAAGCCGAATTAGTGCTAACTCACAGATTGTATTGTTTCGGATGAAATTTTTTATTAAGGCGATTGTTGATCGAATCTGCGATGTAACTAGTTCTAAGGTGATTTGTATTTATGTTGGAACTTTTTAGATTTCCTAGGAATTGTTTGTAAGTGCCGTTTGACTATCTTCCATTAATAAAATCTTTATTCTTCTTGTCAAAAAAAAAAAAACCATTATACACATGTCAATTCCACAAGAAAATAGATCCCTCCAAAATTGCTTATGACATCATATTTGATTATTTTCCCATATTTTTGTCGACTTCCTTCCAAATTCAATATTGAAAAATTAAATAAAAGTGTGAACATTAATTAACCACAAACGTATTAGTCTCTTTCCAAAAATCCTCCTTTTGTGAATTAATTATTTTATACTTTTTATTGAATTTTTTTCTCTAAATCCTACATTGCAAGAGTAGTACTAATCTAGTTTATAATTATATTCTTGGTTGAAGATCTTAATGTCCTAATGTGGATTAAAACTGTGAAAAAAAGACTATTTTGTGTCTACTTGTAAATATAGTGCTCAACTAGATATTGGTCTGAACAAATATTACAATTTTGTAATATTTAAACTAAATGAGTTGAAAATATAGTAGTTTGAAACTATAACGATAAAAATTTTAAGCAACTATTGCATGAATTAAACTCTAATATGGTTAATTTAGAAATAATTGATAAGAAATAACATGTAATGCTTGTAACAGAAAAAGAATGGTGAAGTATTAGTGCATATATTGAGTTAATTATTGCTAAATAGTAAGATAATTATTATAAGGGTGTTCGAATAGACACAATAACAATAGAGTTTAGATGATAAGTTATCTATCTATTTATTTATACTATTGATTAAAAGACATTTATAAAATTGTGTATGTGCCACGTGTATCCTTTCTTACAACAATATGACGCCACATCATTATTCAACAACCTTTAGCATCATGCCACATCCTCATTCAATGATCTTAATTAAAAATGCATACAAAGAAATTTGAACCCCAAACCTCATTGCATGGAAACCACATGTATTACCATCTTAGCTAGAATTAAATCATACAATATTAATCCACATTTATATATAAGTACATACATGTATTAAAACGTAGAATAAAAACCAAAAAAAAAAAATAAAAAAAAAATAATAATAATTCCAAAATAAGCTATTGTTGTCATTGTATTCTAATTTACTCACGTTAAAAAATTAATAAGTCTTTTAAAGCGCCTAATATAAAAATGAAATTATTCAAAGTATTACCTGGAGCAAAGCCTGAGTCACACACTAACACTATATATTAAAAGACGTTCTTAAACAAGCTTACATGCCACGTGGCGCCCTCCTCGATTAATCGAGTCTTTTTATTTCACGTGCTTAAAAATATGGATTATACAGATTTGAACCACAACTTTAGTATAAAAACTAAAGCATCAACCACTAAGCTATCACCATATTATATGACATTCTACTAAAATTAAATATAAATAAGAATTTCAATTATGGAATTAAAGCGGTAATTCGGGAGATCGCCCGAGCCTAAAAACTAGTTTATATTTTAAATAAAAGCTTTTTATGGACTTTCCATATCATTACTTAGAGAACTCTTTTGGTTTGACATTATGCACAAATTTAGTTGCTATCAGTATTAATGAGGGAAAATATGTAAATAAATATTTGTAGGGGTATAAATGTCCACACACTATTTTTAAGAGTTAATACAAAAATCAATTAACATTAATGAAGACAAATTAAATAAATAGACCTTTTAGAGGGTATAATTGTCCAAACAATATTCATAGGAATTATCTCAAGTCTTTTTAAAAGGTAAGGAGTATAGTGGCTAATGTGTGCGTTCTGGCACGGACATGTACACGAAATTCTTTTGGTTTGACTTTATGTCACAAATTTAGTTGTTGATTAATGAGGGAAAATAGGTAAACAAATATTTATAAGGGAATAAATATCTGCACACTATTATTAAAAGTTAATTTTAAAAAAACAAGGAGTAACATTAATAAGGGCAAATAAATGAATAAATTGGGATTTTAGAGGATATAATTGTTCAAATACTATTAATAAGATCAAGAGTTATCTCAACCTGTGGGGGATAGGGATTTCCAATAAATATAAATTCTACTTGCTAAATACATTTAGAGATTGTTTGATATATGAAAGTTAAATTTATTTACTAATGTCTATCAACAATTTTCATTTTCCTTCAATGTTCTTTGTAAAACGAGTACATAAGTGATGACTTCAATAATTTGACAATTTGTACAGAGTTGAGTACTTTGATCCCTAATCTTATATGGATAATTTGGGATAAAGGGAATACTACAAAAATCTGGAACTTCGTTTATGAGTTTAAATTAGAAAATGAGTATGTGTACTGTGTAGCGCAAATTTTTAGCCGATCTCCTGACCAAATAAAGTTGGCTGATCATTCGTTTTGAAAATATATTGAAAGTAACATTGAAATTGGAAATTAATATTGGAAATTAATATTGGTGTGTGGGGATGAGGAATCGAAATATATACTTGAATTATACCAAAATATATATTTTACTGGTTCCAAGTAAATATATACTTGTATTATACAAAAATATATATTTTACCAAATAAACAAACAAACAAACAACAATCAATCAATCAAAGCCTTAATCCCATAAGTGGGGTCAGCTACATGAATCAAATTTGATTATTTCGTGTAATAATCGACAAAAATCCTCCTCCTCCATCCCTTACGATCCAATGCCTCATCCTCATGCACCTCCATATACTTCATATCCTTTTTAAATCCTACCATCCAAGTCATTTTCGGTCTCCCTCTCCCTCGTTTAACCCCTCCATGGTCCCACTTTTCCACTCTTCATACCGGTGCATCCTCGGGTCTTCATCTTATATGCCTAAACCAACGCAGAAGATTTTCCCTTAATTTGTCTGCAATACCTGCCACACCTACCTTCTTGCGAATAACCTCATTTTTTTTATTCTACCTCTTAGAGTGTTCCCGCACATCCACCTCAACATTCACATTTCCGTAACCTCCATCTTTCTAATGTGCTCCTTCTTAGAAGCCCAACATTCTGTATCATAGAGCAACACTGGTCTTATGGCAGTCCTATATAATTTTCCCTTCAACTGTAATGGAATGCTTCGGTCGCATAACACTCCCGTGGCCGCTCTCCACTTAAGCCATCCCGACATAATCCTGTGGGCCATGTCTTGATCAATGTCACCATTTTTCTGGATAATCGACCCAAGATATTTAAAACATTCGCTCATGGTCAAGTCCTTTCCATCCAAACTCACCACCTCATTGCTTGTCCCCCTCTGAGTATCAAAGCGGCAGACCAAATATTCAGTCTTACTTCGACTTAGCTTAAACCCTCTAGATTCCAACCTTTGCCTCCATTGCTCCAACTTGGCATCTTTAGTTTCATCCACCAAAACGATATCATCCGCAAATAGCATACACCATTGGACTTCATCTTGAATTGGTCTAGTTACTTCATCTAGAACCATTGCAAAAAGGAAGGGGCTTAATGCAGACCTTTGATGCAATCCAATTGTAATAGGAAAATCTTTTGTCAACCCTCCACATGTCCTCACATTTGTTGACACATCCCGATACATATTCAACATTGCCCACCAAAGTACCTCAATGATAATAATAAATTTCAATAAAGTCTAATAAGCTCTAGTAAATTCCAATAAATTCAATAATGTCTAATAAGTTTAATCATTAAAGTCTAATAAGTTCAATCAGGTCGTCTAATAAGTTTCAATAAGTTCAATCAGGTCTTGATTAGGGGATTTATCCCGCCACATGGACCTATTATACTCTGCCACATGTCATCCACGTGGACCAACTAGAGCCTGCCACGTGTCACCTCGTGAGAGGTCCAAGGTGGACCAATCAGGCCACGACACGTGGCAAACAGATGGCCAACTAGGAAAGTGGTCTTTAAGGGCCCAAATACCTAGGCAAGCCCAGTCAGTCCTAGGTTTCTGAAAACCTAGTACTGGGCACACATTTCAAGACCCTATAAAAGGGAGATGTTCCCTCTGAGAACATCATTCAGAAATTCAAAAAACACACGTGTATATTGATTGCTGCGCATTAAACCCAGCATTAATTGCACTCCTCGAGAGCTAAGGCTCGGATATTGAGACTGTCTCAGACAGTTGGATAATCACTCTCCTTCCAAGAGGAGCCCGATCCCCTTTACTTTCCACATCTTTACTTTCGAACACGTTCTAACTTGATCGTCGGAGGCGGAACTCCCACCCACAGGAGTCTCCGTTGTTTTGCAGGTACATACATCCAGAGGCCAGTCTTGGTGTTGTAACTTTCCCGCAGGACATCCAAAAACCCTGAAACATTTGGCTCCGTCTATGGGGAGAGTACTTTAAGATGACTTCACAAGAAACTGTACCGCCTCTTAATGAGAAGCGGCCTATGGCCGACGTCCAGGTCTATACAAACCAGGATACAGATGACGACTGTGAATTCGACACACACACGTCCCCTAACGAGTCCCTGAGAACTAGGCGCATCTGTGCCATCGAAAAGAGGGAACGAAATGGCGAATAGGCGGGCCATAGTGAACTAGTCGGAATAGTCAGCCAAAAAGCCCTCCCATTTTGGGAGGAATAAGTTGGTTTAAGACCGAGAGGCCACTCCTTACCCTAAATCAAGGGAGGGACAGAAGCCCTTGATAAATTTGGCCAGACTTCGGTTCCCTGAGCCAGGGAAGAGGAAGGCCATCCGGCATGTACAGTCGGATGGTTCAAAGAAAACTTATTCTGATGCCCGGATGTTAATCCAGCAAAAGAAGAACATACAACTGTCGGAGTCGGCTTCAACGTCGAACTTACAAGACAGCTTTTAGAATACCTCAATGAGGTATTCACAATCAAACCGAGAGAACCAGAAACGCGGCATGTCCGCCCACTCTAGTCCTCAGACGCTTCATGCGGCCCTGTATGCACCTCAACAGTCGTACATGCCGTATGGACAACCTTACATGCAGCCGACCCTCTTCGGGGGGCAGGCGACACACAATGTCCAACCCTTGGACTGACAGCTTCGACTGCTAAGACTTGGAGAACAACCCTCTGTGTTCTCCAAGGAAATAACTGAGGTCGCACAGCCGGCCAAAGGTGAAAAATGTGCTGGTAGGTGCCTATGACGGTACCACCAACCCAGAAGACCACCTAATGGCATACACCAACCTTATGTATTTTCAAGGGCTGGATGATGTCGCATGGTGTAGATGCTTCCCGGCCACATTGAAGGGCGTCTCCCAACAATGGTTCGGCAACTTGCCAACCGGATGCATCAATAATTTCAGGACGCTTGCATACTTATTTGCGTCCAACTTCTCAATGAACATCCCTGCGAAGAAAACAAGTCTTGACTTGGGAGCTATACAGCAGGGAGAGAAGGAAGGCCTACGATCATACATCTGTTAGGTTTACAGTGATTTCAATGAAGAAAACACTTAAAATATGTATGGGAACAAAACCTAAATTATATGATTACAATATAGATTGTAAATATCAAATACAACATAATGTATTTCAATCAAGTATTATCAAAATCTAAGAAATTACAGAAATTTACAAAGGACTACACTAGTGTGAAAAGTCAAACTTGCCTTTCCTCCAAGCCAATGACAACAAGCATGAACAAGAGAATGATAATGTCCCGTAAAACTCAAACCTTGATACACTATCAAAGGCGTGTATACACTTTCCTAAGGAGGTTTATTTCCCCTACATGGTGCTTGGGTTAAACCGAAAATCCTCTTTGAGATACAATTGACAGCAAATTTCGTTCTTAGCACTATAATCGAAATACAATGAATAATTCACAAAGAAGGCTAAATTTTTAGAATTTTTCAAAGAGAAGTTTGCAAGATTTCTCAATGAAAAATGTGGAGAATTATATTTCTTGGAGAGGAAGAACCAGAGAGAAAACTAAATCATCATCTCTCTCAATCACATCTTTTTAATAGAAGATCGAAAAAACTGCAACTGCCAGAGGGCCGCGGGCGCGACAGCCTAACTCGTGGGCGCGGCGGACAGGGTGAACATGGTTCACTCCCAACTTTCTGGAGATGCCGGGCCGCGCCCTGGGAGAGGGCTCTCCCCAGACCCGCGGGCGCGACACCCTATGCTGCGGGCGCGACACCCTATGCCGCGGCGCGGTATCCCAACTCCCCACATACACTCTATATATTCCAACAATCCTCCCCATATAGAGTGTGTACTTTAAAACTTTCTCCACTACTATCAATTTAAGCCACATCTCATGCATCAATGTCAATGTCCCTACGGATTGAATTGACACCTAGTACAACACACTTAACGATGATCATATTCCATGATTTCCATATGGATTGAATCACACGAATATATCCAACCATTAGAAGGTGAATTACACACAAGACAAATCTAATTAATCATCACTTGACACTTTTAACAGCCATGTGTCCGTATCTTTCATAAGTTCATCAAAGTCTATATGTCCATCTAGACTTCTTGAAGCGGTTAAACTTCAAATTATATAGGTAGGTTCTCATATACGTGATAGTGCCCTAGTGACAAGACACCTTCATTTAGAGCTTCTTAACTCTAAATCTTTGAGAACTTTAAATAGACGCTACCTTACACATCACAAGTAATATAGCAATATGGGTCATCAAACATTGCTGACAAACAACAAAAATTCAATTCAACCACATTGAATCTAAGACTTGATGTTTCTTCAAGAGTTAGATTGGGTTTCACAAATTTGTGTTTTTGGACATAAACTCATTCCATTCATAGCAAATATGATGGAATGCCTTGGCATTGCCTTTGTAAAGCAATCCGCCAAATTTAACTTTGTTGGAATATAGTCAAGACTTATGACCTCATCATTGATAAGCACTTTCACTAGGCTATCCCTAAGTGAAATATGCCGAGACTTACCATTATACACTTGACTATATGCCTTTATTAAAGCCGAATTCAAATCACAATGGATTGCCACCGGTGGCATTGACTTTGGCAATAAAGGCAATTCTATCATGAGATTCCTCAACCACTCAACTTCCTTACTAGCTAAAGCAAGGGAAATAAACTCCGTTTCCATAGTGGAATCCGCAATGCAAGTTTGTTTTTTAGAAGACCATGAAATGACACCTCCCCCAAACATGAATACCCAACCACTAACAGAAGAGTCATCCTCTTTGTAAGTGATCCAACTAGCATCCGAATATCCTTCTAAAACCAAAGGAAATCCACTATAAGTCAGACCATAGTCTAACTTACCCGTTAGGTACCTCAAGACCCTTCGAATTGGAAACCAATGTTGCACACCCGGGTTACTAGTAAATCTACTAAGTTTCCCTACAACCAATGCAATATCCGGTCTTGTACTTGTCATGGCATACATTAAGGATCCAATTATCCTCGAATATTCCAATTGGGAAACCATTTTCCCCGAATTCTTAACCAATTTAACATTAGGTTCCATGGGGGTGTTTACAGGACACTTATCAAACATATAAAACCGTTTGATCATCTTCTCAATATAATGAGATTGACTTAAGATAAGTCGTCCATTGTCCCTAATAATCTTGATGCCCAAAATGACATCCGCCTTCCCCAAATCCTTCATCTGAAAAGATGAGGATAAGAATTCCTTGGTTAATTCTACTTGTTGTAGACTTGTACCAAAGATAAGCATATAATCAACATATAGACAAATGATGACACCATGACCTTTTTCATCAAATTTGGTATATATACACTTATCAGCTTGATTCACTTTGAATCTAAAGGACAAAATTGTGTCATCAAATTTCCGATGCCACTGCTTTGGTGCTTGTTTAAGTCCATACAATGACTTAATCAATTTACAAACCTTATTTTCCTGTCTTTTCAAAACAAACCCTTCGGGGTATTTCATATATCTTCCTCTAGATCTCCATAAAGGAATGTCGTCTTGACATCCATTTTATGAATCACTAGATTATATACCGAAGCCATTGCAATTAATAACCTTATGGAGGTAATTCTTGCAACTGGTGCATAGGTATCGAAATAATCAACACCATGCTTTTGCCTAAAGGCTTGGATAACCAATCTGGCTTTAAATTTCACTATGGAGCCATCCGGCCTCCTTTTCCTAGTGAAAATCCACTTATAACCAAGAGGTTTGCAACCGGGAGCTAAATCCTCTAAGACCCAGGTATTATTTCCCATGATGGAATCCATCTCATCATTTATAGCTTCCTTCCAAAATGCACTATCTTGAGAAGATATGGCCTCACTATAACTCTTTGGATCACTATCCACATTAAAACAATATGGAATATTGGAACTAAGGACATTCCTAGAACCTTCAACTAAATAAATTCTAAAGTCATCAAGAGGATTCCTAGGTCTTCTTTCCCTAGAACTTCTCCTAACTTGAGGAGTTTCAACATTCTCACTTTCGAATGTATCTTCATGAGGTTCAAGTTGATTATTCAATTCTACTATCTCCCTATCATTGACACTGATTTATAGATCTTCCGGTCTACTCATTGATGAAAACCGATTTTCATCAAAAATTGCATCTCTCGACTCAATAACCGAAT